GTCTTAGGTATGACCTAAAACTACATCCGACAATTGGGTCTTGGTTAGTGGACGAAATTCAGGTACCCCGTGTCATTGTTACATACCACTGATTCTTGGTTAAGAACTGTTTTCCCCTTTACCAAGGTTACAGTTTTTCTCAAAACCAAGAGACAAATATAGAGTGTTTTGTTTTTTTTTTTAAATTTTGTATGTGTGTGCGGGGGAGAGTTTTTTTTTTTTTTTTCAATTTCCACTAAGTAATCAGCAAGATAAATCCACAGGTATCTAATTACAGGTAAATTGATTGAGTCGATTCATTAATTAAATATTATAAAAGAGAGAAAGAGAGAGAGTGTTGTGATGTGGGGTCTGACAACATTTAACTCGAACGAGTCAGTCATGTTATTAATATTCAATACTCAGCTAGAAAAGTCACTGCATTAGTATTATCTACTTTTTCCTCTCTAGACAATTACCCAGGACTACTTATCATGAATGGACTGATCTCTTCATGATAGTAAGAAGGGTGACTGGCTCTTACCACAACGGAGAGAGAGAAAGACAGAAAGACAGAAACATTTTACGTTATTTCTTTTTGTATTTATTCAGTGATAATATTGATCGAGTGATTAGTATGACCGAGATGAAAGATAGAATAAGACGGTACATTCATTATAAGATAGTGTCGCTCTTTTTATTTATTTAGCGGTATGCCTATATTATCAACAGGAAGCGAAAAAGCAAGATCATTACTTATCAGTGTGAAACGGAAGTGTCAATATAATTGCTACGAAAACGATCACTGCATTTTCTTCCTTTTTTTCTCGAAGAGTTCTTCCAGTAGAAGCCGGTACACCGGAAGATGATCGTCATTGAACTATAAAGCCTTAAGGAGTACATTTATTGCATTGGCATAAGATAGCGTTCCATTATGAGAAAAGTTAGACCTGACGATTGGCACACAATCGATATCTAATCAATATCGATTGGGTCGCTGTAGGGAAGAGATAGGATACTTATGATGTATCACAGATCATATAATTCCTGTACATCACAATATTGCCAATTCAAGAAAGAAATTCGGATTACTAACACAGAAAATGTCTCATATCGAGAATATTTAACATTGAAAAACAAAAGAAAAAATTAATTATTTTTAATAATATGTGGAAATCTCCACTTTTACCTGAAGACGGTCACGAGACCAGAAACACGTGTAGTACAATTATGTAAAAAAAGCATAATATTTTTTTCTAAATAAATCCATAAATCCACATTACAACCAAAAACGTTTGCGGCACCTCTCTTCTCTTCTTTTTAATATACATACTTTTCTCTTGTTGGAACCACTACTTCCTCTTATATATATATATATATATATATATATATATATATATATATATATATATATATATGTTTTATCAGATCATCCCATATGTTCTGTCTGAATTTTGAATAAAAACAAGTAACCTCTCTACTGTCAATGCGACTCATACTAACTTCGAGCGAGTTGCCCTGGATAGAAATAACTGGAGATATTTGTGACAGTGGTATCGGACATTTCGAAATCAGTCGTATTGACCGGCTAAGAGAGGAAATATAACGGCGAAAAGCATCAGCAAATATCCCTGTCGCTATGTCCCGAGATCCTGGCCATTGCACAATATGTGGACGTGTATGCAGGTCACTAGCGGGACTAAAATTTCACATACGACACACACTTAAAAAGAATGAGGTTGCCGGACCCTCATACGTCGAAATCGACGGAGAGTCCATCAAATATATATATATATATATATATATATATATATATATATATATGGAGAAATATAGTCTTAAGGTGTGCTATATTTATGGGATAAAGTGATCAATATCAGAGATAGAGCGTGTGTAAATATAAAAGTGAACATAGAAGTCAACACTTAGAGGCGACAGTCTGTTTTATATATATATATATATATATATATATATATATATATATATATATATATATATATATATAAACTTCAAGATGCAGGCGATCATGGCTTACTAAACTTACCAAAGTGCATATTTGTTTTTATTCTTTTTTTCTCGAATGTGATTCGTTTTCAAGGATTGTGTCTTGTGTATGTTTATGGAACGGTTCTTGGTTAATTCCAGCCTTCCCACGTTTGCTGGAACCCATTTTAAGTCACTCAAAGTGACGTCATTTAAACAGTCAAACTGGAATTTTCATATGTATTAATGAACTCGGCTGGAATTCGAACTCAGCTCTCCGATTCCTCAATCCGAGCTGTTAACCACTATTCCACTATGCCTCCTCCTATACAGGCTTTATATATCATATTTAAAGAGATTAGATTTAAGGTAAAAACATGAAAAAATGTTTTGGCCAGAGATATAATTCAGAGATATAGCTCAGAGATATAACTGAGGCAGTCTTAATAGCACTTCTACAAGGATTGGTGGATACAATCAAACGATAAATGAGAGCTCAGTGCTTGATTCAAAAATCGTACGACTCATACAGCAATCGCTATCACTTGACTTTTTGCCCTTCCTTGCCTTTAAAGGAGTGCCCTTTGCCGTGCTGATGTCGCTACATGCCTTACTTCTTGCCTATCTCACACTGTGAATTTTTCTAAGCTCTATACTAAACATTAAATCTGTTACGAAAAAAGAACTAAACAAAATGAACACAAAACGATCAGCTTTAAAAAACGGCACAGTGGATAAAGACGTTGGTTAGATCCAGTGACAGACCCAAAGAAGGTGAGTTCAATTCCTGGCTAAGGCAGTGGAGAACTTTCAGAGGGAAAATTAGCTGGAGATAACTGATAACTGACATCCATCAAACATGGCACGTGGAACTAGAACAGTTTACCCCAGTGATCGAAATAAAGGGTTCAGTTCGAAATTCCAACCACCTGAAGAGGGCCGGAGCGTACAACGGCCGAAACGTTGTGACAAATATGGCGACAAAGATGAGGACAATAGTCCGACTAATGTAAATACTGTACATCATACCTCATCTCAGAAATATAGACAGACTTTGAACCTCGTTCATCTTTTATCCTTTCCTCAATCACCCCTATACCTAGTCTTTTCTCTCATTTCACTCTCTGTAACCTCCTGGCTGCTAGTGGAACTCACGCCTTGCTTGGGGTGAAGTGCTTTAAAAAAATTGTCATTTGCGAATGCCTCAGGCACCGGGCAATAAACCTAGAAAAAAAAAAGACACAATATATAGAAACGGCACAAGATGCGAACTATAAACTGGAGATGTCAAATCAAGTTATATACAGACACTTAAATATCTGGGAAGTTTTTTTTAAGAGACAGATAAAGGAAAATGTGGCATCAAAATTCGATGGCGCCTTAAACAAAGTATTGCCAAATTATTATTAGAAACAAAGACGGCTGAACTGCTATGTAATAACAATGTAATAACAGTGAATACTGGACATTCTCCTCGCAGATAAAGAGTACAACTAAGTCAACAGAAATACAGCTCTACAGGAGGATGCTGAGAATGCAATGGCCAAAACATATGAGCATCGAGGAGGTTTTAAGTAAAATGGAAACGAAAAGGAGACATTTAGTTACAATCAGAAGGAGACAGTTGACGTTTCTAGAATACATAACGGGGAAAAAGGCATGAACACACACAGAGAGCATACTAAATGAAAAACGGCGGAGGGAAACAGCAAGTAACCAAGCTAATCTGCGTAAATGCATAGCAGAAAACGACGCGGGAAAGACTGTAAAAAAAACAAACATTGCTAAGATTTAGTAAGGATGAGAAGTTGTGGAGAGCCATGATAGTCTAAGTCCTGAATGGATACTCTATATAAAAAAAAATCAGATGAAGTTTTTTGTGTTTTTTTTGTTTGTTCTTTTTTTTTTTTTTATCTCAGGTACTGACCTGATTACTTTGAAGTGTTTTACGAACGCCTAAAAAGTATTCTACCCCCAATTTTGCGAAACATTGCTTTCAGTTGACAAGAAGAGATAAAAGTGTGGGTGTAGGTAAACACATGAAGCCATGATTCTTTACTAAATAAGGCAAAGTATTAGGACGTCATAGTTTTGCGTTGTCAAATGAAATATCGTGATAACTCGTCATATCACTTCATTCGGTTAGACAACTTGAATTTCATTGGTTCATTGCTATATAGACGAGGCTGGCTTCCACTTCAAAATGCGTTTATCTGCACCAATCAAATTCGGCCCATTAAGCAAACACCTACGTGTTAAAGAAGGCGTTAAATTATTCAGTTTATGTCTACGTATGTTTGTATGTATGTATGTGTGGGTATGTGCGCAATTGTTCGAGTACATTTGATTGTCTGCTGGCGACGGCTCCGCCTTTTCGTTTTAGAGGCATGGCCAAATGTGCTTTTCGTTCTCTGGTTAAAATCGCTTATAAAAGTGTTCTTAAATTCGGTGCGACATTACGCAGGATTGGGGGCCCTTGTTTGGTTAAATATTCACCAAAAAACCTGAGCAGGAGCAACACAGAAAAAAAGAGGAAGAGAAAAATTAGGAGGAAAATCGTGTCAGAATAACAACAAAAAAAAAACAAAAAAAAAAAAAATATATATAGAGAATTCTATAAGAAAAAGAAAAAACAGAAATTTAAACTAGAGATATTTTTTTTCTTGTAATATTAAAGATAATTAGAAATAAGCTGAGTGCCAAACAAAATTTGTCGGAGTTGAAAAAGTTCCTAAAATAATAATAAAAAAAAAGCTGGACTTTTTTCCGAGTTTCATGTTTATTGCAGAGTCATCTTTATCAAATAGTTTATAAAAAAAATTCCTGTTAATTTGTGAACTGATAAAAATCAATCTGGACACTGTTCTAAACCTGGTGAAAGCTGTTTCTTGCGTACTAAAAGTCGGCCGAGTGATATAAATCTCTTACACATTTTCTTTAGTACCGAGATTTGCTAGAGTGAAGAAAAGGTAGGTAAAAATTTAAGTTTGTATTTTTTGATTTATTCGTCTTTATTAAATTTTATTTCATTTGACATAATGCTTTTTCTTTCTTTCTTTTTTCTTTTTTCTTTCTTTCTTTCTTTCTTTTTTTTTCTTTCTCTCTCTTTCTTTATCTCTCTCTCTCTTTCTTTATCCTTCTCTCTTTCTTTCTCTCTCTCTTTCTCACTCTTTCTTTCTTTCTTTCTTTCTTTCTTTCTTTTTTCTTTCTTTTTTTATTTCTCTCTCTTTCTTTATCTCTCTCTCTTTCTTTCTCCTTCTCTCTTTCTTTCTCTCTCTCTCTTTCGCACTCTTTCTTTCTTTCTTTCTTTTTTCTTTCTTTCTTTCTCTTTCTTTATCTCTCTCTCTTTCTTTCTCCTTCTCTCTTTCTTTCTCTCTCTCTTTCTCACTCTCTCTTTCTTTCTTTCTTTCTTTCTTTCTTTCTTTCTTTCTTTCTCTTTCTCTCTCTCTTTCACTCTCTCTGATATTACTGCCACTATTGCATCTATGAAAGATTCCTCTCCAGGACCATGATATCCCCATAGAGGTCATAACCATTCTGTGCAACCTACAGCTGCTGAAGGACCCCTTGCACCCGGGGCAAAGTCGCTAATATCTACACATCTCGTGTCACTTTCGTTAAGAAAGGACTCATACTTCCCAGTTGTGAAGTATAGGCCTATAGTTTCAACACGTTTGGCGTTTCTGTTACTGTTTTCACAGCAATTAGTTTGTTTTTTTTAATACGGGATGCAGTTGCCATCGCCATGTCCAATCGGCTTTGAATTCACAATTATCCTTCTCCTCTATTGATTGCCAACCAAGCTTGAAGAGCCCAGTCTGCTTTACTATTTAACCCATAGTTGAGGGAGAAGATATGGATTCATACATTTCACAAGCATATTGTCCAGAATTCGAAATCGGCTTCTCGATTTTTCGTTCCGAGCTGCTAACCATTATATTAACATTTGGTCACCTCGATGTGGTGTAAGCTTGTCTCGCTAGAACAATTGCACACTGGGTGCCCCATGCTTTCAGCCTTGTGCCATATCTAAGCAGTGATTCTAATATCATCATTATATTAACGTGTTTTAAAATGGTCATCCGTGTTTTTTGTGTCGACGTTTCTTAACTTCGCTAATTTTAACGGGATTCGAACGTAGAGAGTTCTTTCGTGATTTATTTATTTTTTTTTTAACATTCTTATTTTTTTTATTATTATTTTATATTGTTGTCGTTGCAACCTCAAACTGTTGTTATCTCTAACATCGGACCTAAAGGATTTTACATGTACACTATTATCTATAAGGCGTATAAGGTTGGAATTCGATCCAAACATCTTTACACTGGCATTTTTATCATTTTTTTTTTATTTAATGTAACCCGATATCCATATACGGTGTATGAGTAACAACTTTGATTAAAGTAATCTTGCATTGTAAGTACACATCAAATTTCTTTTCACAATCTATTGTATGATTTTTAAAACTTGAATCTCTTTAATTTAATTTTATAGGGCTTCATGGTGAGCAATATTTTTTAAGAAAATTTCTTTTTTTTTCCATTTTAATAGTGAAGAATAAATTCATAGAATTTCTTACTTTTGAGCATGCAGCATACAACTGGCCATGTGTAAATATTTCTTTCTGGAAACCAAATTCCAACTTTTTGAAGCATTTGGCCTTGTGATTTGTTTATACTTCTCGCAAACGCAGGCGAAACTGGAAACTGAATTCTTGTATATATAAAAACTTTAAAAAAAGATATGCAAAAAACAACATTTTATTAAATAAGTATTTGTTATTTTAATTATTAAATTATTTTTAAAATAGATTTTTAATTTAAAAAAAAGAAAAAGAAAAGAGGAATGAAAATTTATTGTACTAAACAACGCACCCTAGTAAAACAAATTGTACTTTGTACCCTTACCCTTTAAAAAGAAAAAAAAAGTTTGTTTTTGTCATATTTCTTTCAGTTTTAGACACCAGAATTTTTTGCAACAGGCTGAAGCATGTTGAAATCCTCACAGTATTTAGTATTCTTGAAGTTATCACTAACATTTACAAACTCTACGTTTTGTTCAATTTTACAAACCAATCAATGAAATTTGAATAAAATGATTTGTTTGGAAAAATATTTTGACAAAAATCCTACTTCGCAGTTTAATAATTTTTTTAATTTAATTTTATAAGACTTCATGGTAAACAATATTTTCTAAGAAAATTTCTCTTTTTCCTTTTTAATAGCGAAGAATAAATTCTTAGAATTTCTTACTCTTGAGCATGCAGCATACAACTGGCCATGTGTAAATATTTCTTTCTGGAGCCAAATTCCAACTTTTTGAAGCATTTGGCCTTGTGATTTGTTTATAGTTCTCACAAACGCAGGCGAAACTGGAAACTGAATTCTTGTATATATAAAAAACTTAAGGAAAAGATATTCAAAAAACAATATTGCATTTTTATTAAATAAGTGTTCTCATTTTAATCATTAAATTGTATTTAAAATAGTGGGAGTATTTTGTATGTTAAATAATAAAAAAATAATTTTCTCAAGAAAATGAATGAAAATTTAATGTATTAAGTTGTTCAACCTTGTAAAACCAACTGTACTTTGTACCCTCCTTACCTGTTTGTAATTCTCCTCAAAATTTGGTTTTGATCAGTTAATGAATGACTATTTTAGAAAGTGTGAGGGACGGACTAACCAATGTCATATAATTTTATATGAAAAAGAATCTTAAATCTTATGATTGGCGAATATTTCTATAAAATTTTATTTAGAAGTATAGTGACAATATTAAATTCGAGTACTTCGTTTTATTTTAATGCTTTCTCGTTATCCTCTTAAATTAAATCGATATCCATCACATGGTATACTTAAATTCCTGATAGCCTTCAAAGCTTTAGATTAAAATACGGCATGATTCCAAATTGAAATCCTATATTTAAGGGGTTCCCAAAATGTCCTTCCTTGATTCTACTTTTGATGTTAAAATTCCAGGCCCACATAAACACAAATAGAAATTTAATGTGACAGGAAAAGGCTCATGAAGGGTATGACGATAAACTATATCCGGTGGCAAGGGCTTTGATAGAGGGGAACGTCGAACCACCTCTTAATTGCTGTTCCCAGGCCGACACTGATCCCGAGTGGTAGCACCTGTTGGGGTCCAAGTAATGGCCAAATAGTTCCCCACCACTAAAAAAAAAAAATAAAAATAAAAAAAACTGGGGTTAAATATGAAAATATAAGAATACATGAAAAAATATATTTTCATGGTAAAAAAAAAGAAATTAAAATAAATTACCAGCAATACATTTTGGAAAAAAAATATCGAGGCAAACAGAATAAAATTATCAAAGGAAACAGAATAAAATTATCAAAGCAAACAGAATAAAATTTCGGCATTATGACAGTATACCGTTAAACAAACAAACCTTATTTACAAAATTAGAATGTAGTAAGAAATATAAATACTGAATAATGATTACACTGCTCCATGTATTAAGCTTGTAAAAGTCTTTTTAACACGAGAAAATAAAACAAAAACAACGTTTCTAATCAATTTGAAAATATCATTTATTATAAGAAAACAGCGAAAATTTTGTTTATATAATTTCTGAATTATTTGCCTTAAAAATGAAGTAAAGCAGTATGTGTTTTCATAATTTTAAACAAAAAAAAAAATAGAATTTCAAAGCCCAACTATTATCTTTGGACCAACTCTAGACCAATTGTCATTGTCTTTTCTTCTCGCTAAAGTCTTATTCTCTTTCACTTCCAGTAACCCTTTGCGTCTTAGTGGCCTTATCGCCTTGTTTTGGGTGAATTTATTTTTAAAAATCTAAGCAATCTACTAAGAACCAAAAAAAATTAAAAGGCAAGATTGTTGAACTTCTATGTAATAACATTCCTCCTATATGTCAGTATTTGTTCAAAACTCACAGAGATCACCAGTGGTTTATATTGAGAAGACTTTAGTGAGGTGAAAGGACAATAAAAGGACAGGTTTCAGGAAGACACAAGATGGCGTTAATGCCACTAAGATACAAGGGGCTACTGGGAGTGGAAGGGAATGAGAAGACTTTAATGAAGAGAAAGGACAATAAAAGAACAGGTTTCAGGAAGACACAAGATGGCGGTAAAGCCACTAAAATGCAAAGGTGCTACTGGGAGTGAAAGAAAATACTTTAGTGAGGAGAAAAAACAGGTTTCAAGAAGACAGAAAATGGCGATAATGCCACTAAGGCGTAAGGGGATACTAGGAGTAAAAGAGATTGAGAAGACATTAGTGAAGAGAAAGGAAAATAAAAGAACAGGTTTCAGGAAGACACAAGAGAGCGATTGGGGTTGCAGTTAAATTTTTGAAGATTTCAAGTAGCATGGAATCGAATCAAGAAATCAGAATGGGTGGGGCTTGCACTCATTGGAAACGGGCGTACAATAAAATAAGAACTATCCCTAGACATGACCAGTTAAACGCGAACTGAGATTAAATAAAATGTTCATTTCAGAATTCGCTATGCACCCGAGGAAGGCCGGGGAGCATGACAACTGAAACGTTGTGATAGCAACAATAAAGATGAGGACAATAGTCCGAATATAATTAGTGTAAATAATCAAAATGGAGTTTTGCAGAACAGAAGTGCGAGAAAATAGACTACTGAACCAGAATTTACGGTTACATCTAGCTAGTTCGACAGTAAAACGATGAGACCTAATTGGCAATCTAGTAGAATGCTTCAATTCATGCAGTCGATGCACCAAAGAGGAAAACTCATCAGAATCATTAACCTGAAAATATTTGTAAAAAAAAACAGAGGGAGGCCAAGTCACATCAGTGAGAAAGTGACTGTAGTCGAGCTGCCAGGTCAGCATCAATTACATTACAGATTTGAGTTTGTAAATCATTTTTCAGAGATTTAGCAATTATAAAACAAAATTATTATTAAAATTTCTAAATTGTCGTGTAATTTCTGGACACAAAGTTTTACAAAAGTAAATAATGAAGCTATCGATTTGCCCTGGTCTGCGAATTTAAGCCCCACACGAGGACACATCGATTAGCTATCTATTTGTCCTTGTCTGGGGCTTAAATTCGCATCTTAAAAATCGCTATATCTCTTTGTATATCTATAGAAAAAAAACATCTTTTATCAGTTAAAATACACAAAAAGATATGCACCAAGTCATTATGGGCAGCTCAGTAGTTTACAATCAACAAAAATGTATTTCTGATAAGAACTTCAACAGAAAGGATCTCACTTAGAATGAAAATGCAAAATTGAATCAGTTGCTAAGTTTGCTGCTAAGAAAGTACAATTTTTCCCGCAAGAATCAATCATACATATTTATAAATCTACAATTCGTCCCTGCTTTGAATATTGTTGCCATATTAACTCTGGTGTTCCTGCTATGTACAGGGTGACCACTGAAAGACTGAATGATATAAAACAGAAATAACTTTTACAAACACGTTTTTTTTTTTTAAATTTTATAATTTAATTTGGATGGAAACATTTCTCATAATC